TATATAGCACAGCACACAATACTTGAGGAGAGGAGACCCTGAAAGACACATATTACAATTTATTTCCACTCAAAGAGGAAATGACGGCAAAAGTTAACAGATCACGAATTTCGGTCCTCGTAACTGAACGGTACTTGTAAACGACTAGGAACTAGGTTATAGTACAGAACCTGTTACAAAAAAACAATACTTCAACACATCGATAATACATCAATATTATAGAATACATACTACTTAAATATTAATAGGAACTAATCACATAACAGGAACAATTTACAGTTAAGTAAACAACAACGTAGCAGTAAGCAGCAAATGAAACAGATCAAGCCAGCAATTCTGTCTCAGCTGATCGCTCGGACCTATGACTACCGGGAGTTGATGGAGTGCTCGAACTTTGTTCTCGCATTCTTTGTATTTTCTTCATCTTCACGGCGCTAAGCCCAGTTCGTATCTGCAAAACTAACTTTACCAAAGGAAGGTGGACGTGATGAAACTGAGAAGCGATGGCATATAAGCCTCCTCTACTCCAAAGCTACAATAATATTTGAGCATAAGCAAGCGTTCTCCTATGTTTAAAACCATGCAGTTAAATAAAATATGGATTTACCATGCGAGGCATCTTTTCCGGCGATTGCAAATTTCTGGGCAGCTTCCACACTTCCAAAGGGGTGTCGTTGTCAACATTTAAAAGAGTGTGAGCTAAAAAAATCAACGTTATTCGCACTTACGCTTATGTCATTTTTGAAGTTATTACCGAGATGAGCAGCTGACGATGCTGTGACGACACGTCGTGTGCGATTCTGTTGCATTTTACCATTTGGTGGACTGACAACTTCTTCGTCGTAGAGGCTAGTCCTTCTCAAGATTGGCTCACAGTAAACCTATACAAGAAATACTTAGACACTACAGTCTTAGATTTCATCGTTCGCTTCTACAGTTGCACGCCGCGCGCACATTTTGAAACAATCTAACGTTAACTGAGTATCTTAGATAGATTTCTTGAGGTACCTTCTTTCTATTTTCTTCCTCTTTGATTTTGTCTTATGGTATGAAACAGTTCAAAGAACTCTACAACCAATAACGTTTTTGGTTATTTTTGTGACAAAAAACTTTCCAGTCAAAGAAGCCTAAAACTAGGTAGAAAGTACTTAAAAAACTAATTTGGATAGTTTGGCCTGTTGGCGTAACTGAATTAGCTGGCTCTCTGGATGAGCGCGCGGTGTGCAATCGCACAAGCGCTACGAAATATAGTTGATTATATGCATAATTTCTCAACGAAAAACAAGGAAGTGAAAAAATTAGGGAAAAGCTAGTGTAGGACATACCTCATCTTCGTCTGCTTCCTCGATCTTGCTTATTTCTTCTACGCGACGCTGGAATCTGAAAAACTAACTACATCGAAAGTTGTTGGAAAGAAAATGGACGCTAGGCAAATGTTCAACCCATTGAGCCTGAAGTTATGTGAAAAGAAACTTAGTTTTAAAAAAGAAGATTTAGAAAACGAATAGTCCTCATTCGTGTTTTGACCTTTGATATTCGCAATTTTTCAGTTACTTCACGTCATACCCAATTTATGCTCGCTAGCTATTAATTTCTAGCGTAAAAGATTGCTAAAATTCCAGAAGAAAGAAGCAAGTGTATTCTGTCATTTGGGTAAATTCAACGGCGAATCTACATACTGTCGTAAGATATACTTAAGAAGGGATTAAATTCCAAAAGCGATAGAAGATAAATATTTATTAGATTTGTTGTCAAGAGATCAACAAAATTCTGGTTGAGCTTGAGTTTTCTCCTTGTACTCAGAATAAGTAAAGTAAGCTTTCCCTTCTGATTTAATTAATTCGGGAAAAACTGCTTACAAGATCGGTTGAAACAAGAGCGTGCTAATTTTTCATGACGCACGACTATATATCTTTCCGCAAATAGGGTATAAGATAAAGGAAATAGATATTGCGAGATGGTATAAGTGTTCAACAAAATTAGTTTCAAAAAAACTAGTAAATGGCAAGCACGCGAGAAATCTCCAGATACGGATCTCATTTAGGATTACTATCTAGTACAAACCAAAAAATCACAATGCAAAACAATTCTAGATAACGAAAGTAATGCAGAAAACGAGAAAGAAGGAAAATAATGCTAGGATAAAAGATAGACGCTATACCTTGACAACTGCTCTTTTCCAAGAATATCATCTATTCCAAGGTTATTAGGGGTTGCTGGAGCAATAGCAGGAGCTGATGCGGAAGTAGACAGTCGATTTTTTTTCTCCGGAGGCTCTGTCGACTGAAAGCACAAGTGAGACACGCTGTTTTATCGAAAAGCAGGGATATTAGAAAAAACTCGCATACATTGAGCTTGGAATCCGTTGTTCGTTTCGACGGAGTATTATGCGAAATGCTTGAACTTCTTAACACTCGCATAGGCTTTTCTTCAGCTTCTTTATGTTTCGAGTCCTTATTGACAGCGTGGGCAAATTTGCTTAGCAGGTTCGTTTTCGCCCTTTGAGGACGTGGTGAGGGAGTGTGTAGTCCAAGGAGGGATTCGCGCGTTGGCATTACGCTCTGGGATGCCTAAGTAAATTTTCAAACCAAACAAATACTCAATATTTACAAGTTCTGCAAAGCTTAACTATCCCAATTCAGCCACAATGTACAAATAGCAATCTTTATCAGATGCTAATACAACAGATTCAAATCCTCCACCTGAATTATTGCTCTGCATGCTTTAGCTGATGCTATGGCAGCAGCACGTGGAATTTTGGCACGTTCTTCGCTAATACGGACTAATTCAGTGAGCCTCGAATGCCGGCGCCTTGGATTTCCGCACACCTTCGCCATTGGAGTGGCTTTTACGACCTAAACAGTAGTATAGTTTGGAATAAAGATAGAAAGAAGTTGTGAGCCATTGCGGCAGGACACTCAGCAACGACAATATTGCCTAAGCAAATAGGACCAAGTTCCAAATGATAGCTTGTACGAACTGGACGTATAGTCTAAATACTGAGAAAGAAAGAAGTCATGAGCCGCTGCGGCAGGAAAACACATAGCAACGACAATGTTGCATAAGCAGATAAAGTTTCAAACAACAAAGCAAAAAAGGAGGCATACAGTAGAAGGTATATGAACAATTTACGAATAAAAAACTTTCCATTCAAGAAAGAGATTTAAAACTGCAACGAAATGGCAAAAAATCAAGCGAACCTCAGTTTCTTCCTCCTTCACACGTTCTCGTAGCTTTTCCTCTGGAGTTTCTGGGATAATACGCGGAGCACGCAG